TATGTCATATTTACAAGTCAATAAATCAATATAAAAAACTTTCAAAATTTATGCTGTAGTATGTACGTTCAGGATTAATCTCGGCTTGACTGCAAATAAAATAAAAATAAAATATTATTAATATTTTTTATTAACTAACAGAGAGAGAGAGAGAGAGAGAGAGAGAGAGAGAGAGAGAGAGAGAGAGAGAAAGAGAGAGAGAGAGAGAGAGAGAGAGAGAGAGAGAATTGGAGTTGCTTTAATGGAAATTACAGGTAATGTTCTTTATTGCCGCGCAATCTTTTTGGCCGACACGAGTTGTGTTTCTGACGGAATCCTACTGCCATTTGAGCACTCCACTTTCTTATCTGGATTGACAGATGCAATTAGTAGTTCTGTCGATTTTTCGCCAAAGGAAATAACAGTATTCTCCAGAGAATGTGAACGATTCGAAGGGAGAAAAAATAGAAGTGGTTGAAAGGATCATTAAGTTGGGGGGATAGGAAAGAGGAGAATTTTATAAAGATAAAGATTAATAAAATCATTGTTGATATACAAAATATACTGTTATATAAAATATTATTATAAACGAGTGAAATAGATGTCACTGTAAATTCGCCCCTGCAACTTTTTGGTAAAATTACAGTGCTATAGATAGACATCATAATGCATTTTATATATATTACAATTAATGTAATATTAATTAATTAATACAGCCTAGGCTATAGGTATATAAAAATTTATTATTCTACTTACAAAATTATTCTACTTACAAAAAAATACGTATTATAGCAGATAAGTCAAAATAAATTGAAGAGACAATTTATATCATTAATAATGAATTTTTAACTTTGTAATTATCGCGGTTATGCAAAATGAATTTTCAATAACTTTCTTTTCTTTTCATTTCTTTTACGCATAGAACATGCTTAATAACATATAGCATAACAATTCGTTAGCGCATCGGATAAATATTTTTCGTATCTTAATAGTCTTATTCACTGTGTGAATTCGCCGGCTAATCATTTCCATCTCAATCCTCGTTCGATCATTTTGTGCAGATATGTACGATAAAACAGATAAAAAGAAGCCAAGCATGTTATACACATTTTAGATCTTCTTATGCACATTAAATTTTATTATGCCATTGGACCGTCCACTATAACAAGCAATTTATGCTGCGGCACTTTATTTAGACGGCAATAAATGCAGATTCACTAGAAAAGCGACGGGGTTCCGCGGAAGGCCATAAACAGTGTGCAACAACGCATTCAATGCAACAGTAGGGCCGCTCTCGTTCTTTATGACGCGGATCTGTCGTAATGCGATACGTGCGAAATCTTTAACATGCGGCCACTGTACCAGTTCAAGTTTTCAGATATTTATCGTATGACCGATTGCACGATCTTCTCGCAATTTCACTTTTACGTTACGATTGTGGAACGGATTCGCGATTGAAGAAAGAATGTGCTAACATTATTTCCAAATCTAACATAAATTACGGAGTAATCTAGATTTACGCGATTATTTCTGATTTTTATTTTGCGTAAATTAGTTGTGTAAATTGCGATCTATCATCAGTCTATCATCACAATATCTATATTATTTAAAAAATGTTACATTACTTATTTAATGAATTTAATTTAATTGCCGATGTTGAATAATATTGAATTAAATTCATGATATTAAATTAAAAAAAAAAATAAAAAAGATATATATGTAAATATAGCTACATAACACGTATTAATAAAAATATAATTTATTCTTCTAATTTATTTAACATTATTTTTTTAATCTATTTACAATATTACATACATATATTGGTTATATATATTTTCTGTACTAAATTAATTAATCATATCATTCATAGTTTAAATAGAAATCTATTTTATCAAAAAATTTACCACGTTTATAAAAATATTTTAGGAAAACTTGATATAATTACTAATTCAAATTAATATAATCTATTAAATAATCTATAAAATAATCTATTAAAAGCAATATCTTAGAACAATAAATATAAAATGTTTCATAGTGCATTTATTATCAGCAATCGTTACTTCTTGATTGCTAAATGTCTGCAAAATCATTAAACGTAAAATCTTTTTGTATATTCTTGCTTTTATCGACGATCGATGTACCGAGAAACACATCTACAATTTCTGCTACTGATAATAATTTGAAGGCAAATATTGAATACAGAATATGATAACGTTATAATATTGAATATGATTCATACATATGTAAAAAAAAAATTTGTTAAGAAACGCAAAATTCGTTTCATGTAACCAAATTTTTTAGTTCAATACGTGCAACTAAATATGCGTAATATATAACAAAATAATTTGTTACCATAAACAAATCACAATTTAAACCAACAAAATTGAGAGTTCATTAAAAACATACACAGTTACTATAATGCAAAATTTTTTTGATGTGCGAACTTGTTCGTATTGAATATAAATAAATTTCTTTGTCTCATATAAATGTTGATTCTAAGCAGTAAAATCTTTGCATTCAAACAAAAACTTAAAATAGCAATATATATAGTTTGATAAATGCAAATTTAATTTTATTAAAATACAGTTAAAATTTATATTCACGAAAATATAAAGCAAAGTTTCTGGAATTATCGAAGTCTGTATCGAAAGCTAAAGTCAAGATAACAAAATATGTATTTGATACAAATAAAAGCTTTATTGAATGACTTCAATATACTTCA